AGGAACTGGAGCCAAAGGGCTCAAAGCCCAGGAGGGAGGGGCCGTGGTGGAGAAAGGGATGATATTCGGGAAGAAAGTGGGGATGTTACAGGATATCCTCATAGCCCTAAACTGGAGGAGACTGAGACTTGAAAGTCAGATAAAAAGGACAAGAGTGGGTCAGGCAGAAAAGACTATACATTCTATTAGAAGGAAAAGGAGTGGGATACAGTAAGGGATCAAGTCTCAGCCCAACTCAGTGGGATCCCCCTCCAGCTGTTCCTGTCCAGCAGTGCCTCAGGCCCAACCCTGCAGTAGTGTCCTGGGTCAGCTGGAGGGTGTGAGCTAGGCCTAGGCTCAGTGCCCAGATGACTGGACAGGGGCTGCCCGGGCCGAAAGCCCAGGCCTAAAGGAGGGAGGAAGAAGAACCTCACGTGTCCAGCCAGGCAACATCCTCCCCTCACCCCAGCCATTACTGTGTTTGGGGTAAAAACAGAAGGAGTAACTATGGCAACCTGGACCTGGGGCTCCCAGGAACTAGACCTCTCTTCCCTCAAGAGGGCAGCGCTGGCTCCTCAGCCATGCTTCCCATCCCAAGGTCCCTCAAGCCTCATCCAGCCCTATGCAGGCAGAGTGCAATGAGAGCAAAGATTTTGGAAGCAGGTCACATGAGCCGGGTTCCCTGCCTTGACTTTTATTATTAGATGACCTTAAACACTCTGAGCCTTTGTTTCCTCATCTGTAAGATGGGATACTCCTACCTATTCAGGGTTGATGTGAGGATGAAAAGATCATGTTCTCAGTGCCTGGTCCATGGTAGATACATACTTTTCCTCATCCTTTGCTCCTTTCTCTCCCCGTTTACATTGTCCTTTTTTCCTCTATTCCATTTTATCCCATCTGAGATCATTGTCATTTCATTACACTGTTGCTCTTTCTCATTCCTGACCACAGTTTAAGAAAGTACTTGCAGTGTTCAGACTGGGGGTCCTAGGGTAGGACGTGCTGCACCTCTTCTCAGTGTCAAGGGACAGCTGGCACTTTTGCATGAACTACGCATCAGACCTCTCTTGGCTGAGGGAGTGGAATGACAGGAAGGATTTAGAGCAACAGAAAGAGTAGGTGTACCATGAGGGGCCAGGCCACTGTCACACCTGCACCTCATTAGCCCCTTCCTGTACCTCTACCTGTTCTGCTTTCCTCCCTCAGGATCCCCTCCTTTTCTCCATCCTCTGTGACCTCATTGAGCCTCCCTCCCTCTGTTCTCTAGATGTCTTTCCTGCCCCCCCCTTTTTTTTTTTTTGCAGTTTGGCTGGGGCCTGGTTTGAACCCATCACCTTGGATATATGGGGCCTGCGCCCTACTCACTGAGCCACAGGCACCGCCCTCTTTCCTGCCTTTTTTTGCCCTCTACTCCGCAGAGTTATCTCTATCTCTTTTTGACCCTTTATCTGTAGTTCATTTTGTTTCCTGTTTCTTTTGTACTTTTTCCTCCCCATGTCCTGCTTCTCTTTTTCCTTTATTTTTCTGTCTTCTCATCTCCTGTACTGCTGGCCCTGTGCTTACCTCTTCCCTTTCCTGTGCCACCGCCTCTCTTTTGCTCTTCCCACGCCTTTGTCCACATCCCTTGCCCTTTTCCATTGCTTCCTCTCTTCTCCCCGCTTAACTCCTCCCCTCCTCCTTCCTCCCCCCTTCTCCCTCTTACTTCCCCACTCCAATTCTCTGTCCTCTTCCCAGCTGTGGGGGCCGGGACTGGGGAGCCTAACATTTGCCTCATCATTCTGCTATGGCTTCTGGATACAGCACATCTGGATTCCGGGGCCCAGATGTGTGGTTGCCACAGCGACCTCAGTCCCTCTGGTAAATACAGGCGCCCACCCACCCCAGAGCAGAGAACAAAACAATTGTGTGACTTTCTTTTGTCACGAGATAGAAATGTCCTTCCTCCTCCCTTTTCCCCACACCCATGTCTCCAGGCAAAGGAAGTTTTAAGAGTCCAAACCCTTTCTGTGGTTCCCTGCCCCTGTTCAGCCTTAGCCTCTTAGTTTTCGCCCCTCTTTCATCTCAGGTTCTGTTTTTCCTTTCCGTGTTGTTCATCTTCACCCCAGTTCTCAATATAGAAGGTTGACCGCCCCTCCCCCATCTGATGTGGCTTCTTCTAATGGAGCACACACAATAACTGGATGCAGAAAGAAGTTTCAGAAATCAGATTCTCCACTCTTCCTTCTCCAAGTCCTTCAAGAAAGCTGCTTCATTTGTCTCTGCACTGTCTTAAATCCTTTCCTTTCCCAGAGCTGTTGGTAGGGAAGGGAAGCAAATACAGGCTATGGAACCCCAAAACCTGGGTAAAACTCACTCCTAGCAAAGTTCCTTGGACAAGCCACTTAACGTCTGTGAGCCTCTGTTTCCTCGACCACAGAGTGGGATTAGTGCCTGCACCGTGTAGGAAAGTGCTTTGTAAACGGAAGCCCCGCACAAGTGTTTTCTATCTTTCCTCTCTCTGGGACCGTTTCCTTGGATTGCAGCCTCTGGCTTCTATTTCTTCCCCTCTTTATCCTTCAGGTCGTTGCCCTCATTTGCCCTTGATCTTCTGTGTCTTCCTTCTCTTCTCCCTCTCCTTCCCTTTCCATCTTTTCTATATCTTTGATGGCTTCTGAGGTCAGAACAGGAACTTGAGGATCCTTCAAGGATGGAGGCTCAGAGGTGAAGACCTGAACTGAGGATCCAGAAAACAGCCAGAGCACAGGACAGTTCCTGACAACACTGTAACCCTTCTACCCACCACCTGGGATACCTCAGTGAAGCCAACCCCAGCTCTGGCCACCAGATGTCCCTGCCTTTATGCCTGGACTCCTTCCTGTTTCCCCATCCTTCTCTCCCAGGCCTCTCACCGTCAGTATTGACCAGCATTTATTGGGCACATGTGCTATGCGAGGCTTGGCACTTTCCTGACAAAATGAAACATGTATAAGACATGACCTTCTCTAAGAGTCTGAAAACTAGGGGAGGAATCAAAGTTTAGACAGTGATTATTTCAGAACCTGGAACTGTGTCAAGCTTCCAGTGGCTTCCTCAAATGCCTTGTAAGTTTGTAAACATCTGAAATCCCACATTCCTCTCTGAGACCCCAACAGTGGGCTTTTGAAATGTTCCAGGGCCATTCTTCTGGCTCTTCTTTCCAGGGTCTTCTGGCTGCACACTGAGCCAAATATTCTTATGGTGACCATACTTCCTAAATAACAAAACCAAGACATAGGACATAGGAAACAGACCTGTGGAACAGAAATCCAATGGTGTCAGAAAGAAATCTATACTTTGTGAAGTCTGCTTTTTTTGTAATGCTATTTCCAGGCCCTTCCTTACCTTTTCCTCCTCTGGGCCCCCACTATGCCCCCTGCCAGGAGTTCTGAGAGAAGCTGCTACCTACTTCAGGCCAAGGCAGAGGAAGGAAGCTGAGCCTAGCTCTGTCCAAGATGCTGACTTCATCCTCTATCAAAGCCAGGAAAAAAACAGCCACACACACCCAGACAAATGGACATACACGGGGACACCCACGCGAGTGCCTATGTGTGCCTTTGCCTTCAGCCACATGGAACTAACTGAGCATCTGGCCATAGCCTCAGGCCCCAGGGACACCAGCACACGCAATTGTGAGGATCTGACGTGGTGTGCAGACACCTGTGCCCCAACCCATGTGGCAGAATCAGGCACGTGCAGGCTCTTTCACAAAGTCTCTTTCACTATCACCTGTGACTTGGCTAAGCTGCACCTCAGTGGTGAGGTTTGCAGTGGGATAGAGAGAACTCTGTCTTCAGTGTGGAGCTAGAGGTGGGTTGCCCCACAGCTTGGATATTTCTCTTTTGTGGCAAAGTCTCTTTTTAGCCCCTTGTCAGGGCAGCACATGGAGAAATGAGGCCAGGGAAACATCCAGCAGACTCATGTGGGTGTGTCTGCCTCCCTGTCCACCCTGTGCTCTGGTTGTTAGCCCTCAGTTTGCCTGAGACCAGAGGCAGAGTGCCCTTTTCCTCCCGTCCCTGTTTCTCTCCCCACCCTGCTCCAGCTTCCCTGCAGCACCCAGGCATTAGCCGCTTTCTGTCTTCCACCACATCGTCCTCCATTCTTGTGCCCCACCCCCATATTTATGTCCTACTTCTAGCCCTTTCATTCCTAAACCTCCCTCTTCACCTCAGGCTTTCTTCCCACATCTCCCTGGAACCCCAACTTCCTTGCCAAGACTTAAGTCCAAGTGTTCAGCCCAGCCAGTGGCCAAGCCTCACCTGCCGTTTCTCTAGGAATTTGCTGGGGTGGGAGAATGAAAAGTGGGTAGTGATCCCAAGTTGAGAGCGGGAGAGGGACTGATCATAATAGAGTCAGCTCAGGGATGGGGCAAGCAGGCAAGTGGAGAAGATAGAGGAAGAAGTAGTGGTACTGGAGCAGGGCAGTGACTTGGAGTCCCAGAGTTGGAGAAAGAGGTTACCTCCTGCCTGCTGCCCCCAATCTCTGTGCACTGCCAGGGGAGAATTGGCAGAAAGATGAAGGAGCCAGCACCGAGCACCAGATCCAGAGATCAGAATTAAAGCAGTGGCTGGGAAGAGGTGGGAGGAAAAGGAGGGGGAGCGGGCTGGCCATGAGGAAGGATGTAGGCTGAGAGGCAAACATTGGGGTGGAGAGAAGGGGCAACAAGTGGGGAAATGACAGGTAAAAGAAATGGCAGGAAGGGCGGGCAGAAACTAGGGTGGGAGTTAAAAATGGGACAGGGAAAGGACGGAAGAGGTAAGACCATGGATGGAGGGGGTAAGATTAGGTTATGTAGGACTCAGTGCCCCTAGACAGACAGGGAGGGGGCTGGGGTGGTAGCAGGAGGAAAGGAGGGGTGGCATGTGGGAGGGCCTGGGAGCAGTGGGAGGACCAGCCCTATCTCCGCTCCCCTCCCTGACCTCATGCTGGTCCTCCCCTTCTCCTCCTCCTGCTCTCTGCACACTCCCTCCTTCTCACTGTCGCTGCCGAGATCAACAGCCGGCTGGTCGTGACTCATTGAGCCCCTGTTGCAGGGGACAAGCAAGGGGGACATCCACAGAACCAAGGGCTGCCAAGGGGACCCACCCTGCCCTGCCCTGAGACACCCCACTTCCAGGGTTGGGGACAGAACAGGTGCAGAGGCACTGCAGCCACCCCCATTGCCCAGGTAAGAAACAGTTCCTCTCAGAGGAGCGGGAAGAAGCAAGGGATTTCTCTCATCCCTCACACTCCAGGTGAAGGTTTGGCAGGAGAGTTCTCAGGAGTGCTTCCCTGGGCAGGGGCTGGCTTCGGTGAAGGACAGGGGAAATAGGAGCATGCACTGGAGACCAGACTCCCTGTGGAAGGTGTGTCTGGGAGGGGGCAGTGGGGTGGGGTGGGGGATGGGAATGCTGAGGTTTGGATAGGATGCAGACACCTGAGAGAGGCTGGGAACAAATCTACAGACTCTGGAAGGCAAGAAGAGGAACCAAGAGGTGGTGGTTATTTGTCACCGGTGAGGTGAGGTGGGGGGGCTGGTTGGGGGGCATGAGACTGAGCTAGTGGCCACCTGAACCTCAAGAGGAAGGTGGTGGTGGATCCCAAGTGCTAAGGCTGGAGCAGCTGAGCACAGCTTTGGGAGGTGCCAAATGGAGCTTCTTTGGGCATCCAGTGGGGACTTCCTGGATGGCAACATGTGAGTTGGTGAATTATAGGGAGAAGTCTGGGGGCGGGGGGGTTCTCTTTAGGAAATGCTGAAAGAAGGCAAAGTCAGAGCTCTCAGTTCTGGTAAGGGCACAGAGCCTCCAGAGAGGATCCTAAAACTTGTTCTTGGCCAGAGTTCTGCACCCATGACTCACAGTTCAGCAGGGCTAGGATGGCTGAGACTTGCCCCCTGAGGGCTCCATCCCTCTTCTAGGCTCTCCCTGCTTCTGTCTGTCTAAAACTTTCCCCTCCCAGTACATGTGACACACCCCGGGTGGGGCGAGTGAACCCCTTATCTCGCCTGGAAAGAATTTAATGGCTTAGAAACAACTGGAAGTGGAACTGAGAGGAACTACTGGGAAGCCACTCGGAAACACCACAGCTGCTGTCTGCCCCACCCCAGCTTCCCTGGCCCTCCCTCCAAATCCCTGGGGACCAAAAAGCACCTCAATTCCTCAGACTTTTTCTGCTCCAGTCTTGGACGCTTGGTACAAGACCAGAACCTGTCTTCCTGCCTCTTACTGTCCTCCTGCCCCGCCCTGACCTTTTTCCACTCAGAATCCAGATATCCTTTCTCTTAATTTTTCCATTTCCCTAGCTACTAGCTCCCCAGAATAAGGGGTATCTGAATCCCCCAACTTTTCCCTTTCCTGGCATCCCCTTCCCATCTGTTCCCAACCCAATGTCTGGGACCCCCATATTCCTCCCCTACTCTCACACTCCTAGAATCCTTCTGCCTTTATTCCTCTTTGCCAGATTCAACTGGAGGTATAGTAGGAGGGGCAGAGGGAGGCACGGTGGTGGGACCAGAACACCTATCTTTGGAACATCTCACATGGAAGCCAGCCTCTCTCCCCACCCCTTGGGACCTACAGTCCCTGATGAGCAAAGTGTCAAAGTTGGCCACAATGCTGAATACCCAGGAAGCTGAGTCACAGTTTGGGAAGATGCCCCTCATCCCTTCCAGCCCTCCAACTGTGGGGAGGGTGCCAAAAGGGTGGGACTGCATACCCCCTCCACACACGTACAAATGCAGAAAGGTGTGCCAGACATAGCACTAGGAGGGGATGGTAAGGGGGAGACACAAGAGAAACCCAAATTCTTTGCTTGCCTAGAATTGAGAGAAAAATGGAATTCTTTAAGGAGTTGGAAGAGAGGAGCTGGAGTGGGGAAGATGGGGAAGGGCAGGGGATTGTAAAGATGCTCTGGGAGTATGATCTATGGATGCTGCTACTCTCTTCTCAGCCAGTCTCACCACCTTGGCAGAGAAGCTGGTGGGCTCGCTTTGCTCCTTCTTGCTGCAAAGACCCTCTCCCCTTCCCTCTACTACACAGGGAAAGATGAGGGACCCAGTTGTTTGGGGAGGGGTATTGGACAACTCCCAGAGGCCTCCAGGGGTGCAGGAAAGTACAACAGGGGATAGGACCATGTATCTTCTGCTCTCTACTTGGAAAGGACTTTCTGTTTGGTTCCCCTCACTTTAGCTGCCCTCTGAGCCAATGAGAAATGAGCTTTCTTAGGCATCACCCAATGACTGGATGTGGAGGAAACCTGAAGGGGAGATTGGGTGCATATTTGTGTACATGCACATGTATCTATGTACAGGTGGGTTCATATCTGTATTTGTGGATGAACACATGTACATGTATTTATGTATGCATGCACTTCTATGGTGTAGGAGTGATCTGCATGGCCTTAGGCACAGAGTGACAAGATTTGAGGATAGGCTAGAATCTATCTTTTACCCCAGGATATACCCCAAGCTGGGAGAAGGGCTGGAGCACAGGAAAGGGCAGCTGTCTGCCTAGGATTTCTTGGGTGGGGTGCTTCTCAGTGTGGAAACACTCTTTCCCTGTTGTCCAACTTCACTTCCATCTCTTGCTGGCTGGCAGCAGAGTGTAATGGATGGTAGCCCTGAAAACTCCTTTATCTCTCATCCAGAGGAAAAGAGTAGGAAGCCAGGAAATGTGTGTGTGTTGGGTGGTGCGTCCCTCCATGCTCACCAGTCTGCATTTCCACCCCCACACCCGCCCACCTTTTCTCTCTAGCCTCTCTTGTCTGGAAGACCTGGCCACCTGCCAACATCTCTCCTCAACTCTTTGCCTGAGCTGAATCCTGACATGCTTCATCCACAGCCCTCTGATCTCACCCTGGGTACCCTACCACTTTCCTCTCAAAGCCTTGCCTCCCTATGCTCCCCAATCCTCACCTCAATGAATTCCACAAACAACTTGGTAACCACCAACCAAATCAAGAAACAAGGTGCTCTTAGCACCCCAGAATTAACCCCCTTCTGGCCACTATCCCGTCAAGAGTACAATACTCTTAGAACTTAGAACACTATAGATTAATGTTATTTGTCCTCAAACTTCACATAAATAGAATTATGTAGCATATTCTTTTACGCATCTGGCTTCTTTTGTTTAACTTCCTATTAGTAAGATCCATTTTATACTATTGCATATAATTGTAGTTCATGCCTGCTTTATTTTATTTCACTGTGTGAATAAATCACAATTTATTTAATCCATTCTACTGATTCTTCCATTCCTGGAAGTGGAATTGTGGGGTCATAACGTTTACATATGTTCAGCCTTAGTAAATGTAGTAGATTCTGCCAAACAGTTTTCCAAAGTGCTTGTACCATCTGGTCCTGCCAAGATCCACCCCGGCCTGGTCTCTGACTCTGACTCTGCCTCTGCCCTGGCTGCTGTGTCTGACCAACTTCCAGTTTCAGACACTGTCCGTGGTCCTAGCCCTGACCTTGGTCCTGCCTTTGGTTCCAGCCTTAATGCTAGTCCTGGGCTTAAATTGGACTTTTCATTTATTCATATAGTCAGTATTTATTTAACATCTATTTGTGCCAGATGCAAGGATACAACAGCCAAGAACAACAACAACAGCAACTACAAAACAGGTGCCTGTCCCCACGGACTTTACAGTCTAGTAGGCAAGATTGAAAATAGGCAATAAAGTAATAAAATAATTTCATCGTATGTTTCTTTATATATGATCCCAAATTGTTATAAATACAATGAGTGAGAATTATATGATGCTGTGATATGATGTGGTGAAGAGACCTGACCTGGTCAGGAAAGCTTCCCTGAGGGAGTGATGGGGGGCTGAGACCTGAAGAATGAGGAAGTCAAGAGAGAAGAGTGTTCCACAAAGAGGGAACAGCGTCTACAAAGGTCTGGCATTGGGAAGGAGCACTAAGTATATGAGGGGCTTAAAGGTGCTGGAGGAGAAAGAAAGAGGGAACATTACAGGAGAGGAGGTGGGAGAGGTCAGTGGGGCCATATGATATCAACAGGGCTATTTGGAAGGGAGATACTGAAGAGTTGTGTTTTTTTGGTGGTTGTTTTTTGAGACAGAGTCTTACTATGTCACCCTCAGCAGAGTGCTATGGTGTCACAGCTCACAGCAACCTCAAACTCTTGGGCTTAAGCAATTCTCTTGCCTCAGCCTCCCAAGTAGCTGGACTACAGGCACCCACCACAACGCTGGCTATTTTTTGTTGCAGTTGTCATTGTTGTTTAGCTGGCTTGGGCCAGGTTCAAACCTGCCAGCCTCAGTATATGTGGCCGGCACCGTAACCACTGTGCTATGGGTGCCAAGCCAATATTGAAGAGTTTTAAGGAGGAGCGGGACATCCTGCTTGCCTTTGTGATATTGTAGAGGCAGGAGCGGAAGCAGAGGAACCAGCCAGGAGGCAATTGCTGTTGTCAAGCAAAAGAGAGATAGTAGCTTGACTAGAACTATGATAAGAGGGAGAGAAGAAATAAAGAAATGTTTTTTTTTTTTTTTGAGACAGAGCCTCAAGCTGTCCTCCTGGGCAGAGTGCCGTGGCATTACAGCTCACAACAACCTCCAACTCCTGGGCTCAAGCGAGTCTCCTGCCTCTGCCTCCCAAGTAGCTGGGACCACAGGCGCCCGCCACAACGCCCGGCTATTTTTTGGTTGCAGCCATCATTGTTGTTTGGCGGGTCCGGGCTGGGGATTGGAACCCGCCACCTTAGGTGTACGTGGCTGGCGCCTTAGCCGGTTGAGCTATAGGCGCCGAGCCGAAATAAAGAAATGTTAACAAGAAAATATGGTGGAATCGAAAGGACCGTTAGGCTTCTAGCTCATACAACTAGATAAATAGTGGGGCCCTGAGCTGTGATGAGGAATGCTGGGAGGGGTTGGGGGTCAGTTTCAAAAATGTTGAATTTGAGGTGCCCGAGGGGAAATGCCAAGCAGCCAGACAGATATATTGCTGCAGAGTTAGGAGGAGATGATGGGGCTGATTTTACAAATTAGTGTACAATTTGTTGATTAAAATCATGAGTCTAGATAAAAGGACTAGGTGGGTGACTAGAGCAGTAGGTCTGAACTCTGCTGCACATTACAATCATCTGGGGAGCTTTTAAAAATAGTGACCAAAATGTGGTTCCTCAGTCATTTTAACCACATTTCAATGTTAATATTCACATATCTTTCTTG